GATTAGTGTCTTCAACTGCAGTGGCTCCACGTGTATCCAGGTACAGGACAGGACCATCTCCACCTGTGATGACATCACAGCGTTGTGTATGGTGAGGGTTAAGGCAGACTCTGGAGCAGACAGTGTATTACTACTCTTCAAAGCTTCTGTAGTATTTCTTACAGTACATAAACCAATAAAAAGCAGATGAAGTTCCAGATTTTGTGTGTACTGTCCAACAACTGTTGTGCAGCTCATGCGTGGGCAAACTTTTTGACTCATGGGCGACAATTGTGCTAAAATTGAACGGGGGGCCGGGTCAGGAGCAGATAGATGGAGCATTCGTGTGAATGAATGTAAAAGTCATGCATAAAGGCTAAAATGCTTTTAAAATTTTCTACGCCATCTATTGGGGAAAGATAGATATTTCAGGGTTTACTGTCTTTGTGTTAAATCATTGGGAGTAATGTTCCTTGTTCCTGCCACCGGAGGAAAATTAAAGAAAATGTATCTTCTTGTAGACCATGAACTGGCCTTGAGAACCACAGTCTGGATGTTGCAGAGGCCTAGTTTCAGTCGACTCGTTTGTATTATGTTGAAAGGTGCCAATTTCAGTTACTGTGAAATAAGATAAACATGTTGCCTAGAGCAGCTCTGAGTCTCAGTCAAGATAAGAGACAGAGAGAGTGACTTAGGAAGACTCACCATAGAAAATCCCACAGGTTAGGATTTCAGTGCGAGGCATTACAAAGCAGATTAATTCAGAATAAAGCACCACAGTCACGGACGCTCTCTACTAAGAACCGGAGCTATTTATACAAATATAGCCTAGTTTTCTACATGGACTACAAACCCAGTTATTATGGAATACTATGAATCCATTTTTGTTTTGTTTTTTACTGCAAAGGTTTTAATAATCACTAGTGATATTTTGTTCTTCCTTTGTTTTTTGCCTGTGATTAAAACCTTGACTCCTTTAGTGGCTCTTTTTTTCTTCTTCTCTTGTCTAGTTCTCAATCCCACACAGGTCACAGAGCAGCGAGCGTCAGCTGATCAGTAGTCGGGCAAAGTCTCCACTTCTGCAGCCACAGATCTCTGTCCAATATGTGCTCTTCAACAAACACCCACACCCACACTCACCCCGCACACACTCTGATTAATGAACTGCCGCGCCCCCCTTCCTCCATTTACATATAGAATACATTACTAGGACGTTTATATTATGGCTCCCATAGTCCACAGTGAGACTCAATAAATTGTGCGTCCGCAGAGCCGAGGCCTCTTAGAGGGAAACAAGAGAGGGAACTAAAACGTGAAGGCAGGAGCAGGAATAATAGAGAGAGAGATACAGACGCGTCTCCTCTGCTCTGAGAGTGGGATGTAAATTGAGTGCAAACAGAAAAGCCATTAATAATGATATTCACAGTAATAATTTAGAAGCTGGGGATACACAGATTTAGCCAGGCAATCAGAAATCCATCTGCGGAGGTGTTAATATTGAAAAAATGCTGATGGCACAGAAACGTGCACACACACACACACACACACACACACACACACATCTGAATATGTAATGACAACCAGAAGGCCATAACAATCACTGCCTTTATGTGGAGTATTACTTATTTAAAATCCTCAATACTTTTTACTTAATGAAAAGGCCGTGTCAACATTTCCTTTTTCATATCCACTAAGATTACAGTCTGAGGTGAACGGCAACATATTTACTTTACTCGCATCAGCGCGGCCCCCACTTCTTTTCAAGAAAGAGGCTGATTAAAATCAAGCAGCAGAGTAGATTGTGATGAATTATGCAGCGTTTGGTGGGGAAGGAAGAGGAATGCAGTGCAGCTTGTTTAAAAAATTAATTTACGACCGTTAGAATCTATAAAACCTTTTAAAAGATCGTATTTTTAAGTGCTGGGGAAAACTGCAAAGTGATGCACTCGCGTTATTAGCAGCGTTTGGGGGTTTTGTTTTTGAGGTACGGCTACAGATGTAGCGCCACGGCTGCGGCTTTTTGCGGTTTGTCTCTGTCAACTGTTCGGTGCAGAGTCATTGAAATTCACAGTAGGGACGAGGCCGCGACAAATTATTATTTATCTCCTCAGTGAATACCTGCTTTCAGCTTATGTTAGGAAGCAGATTAAACATTGTAAACAGTGTTCGCATTGAGAACAGAAGCCTAATGATACATCATCGTTACCGGCTACGAAATGAGCAGCGACGAGGCTGTGGGTAGAAGGAAATGGAAGAAATTCAACCACCGCATCTTCTTAGTGTTTCAGTAGCCGTCAGCAGATGAACGGCTATCTGAGATAGAGAGAGTACAAATGTTCACCTGGTGAAAAGGTCACCTGACTAATTTATTCAGATGTTTCAACTACAGTAGTCTGGTTGTTTTTGTCTTTGTTTTGTTTTAGAATTATTTTCCATATTTTAAATTATTTCAATAATCAGTTGTACAAAAAACTGTGGCTTCATTTGTTGTTTTTTTTAAAATCCGGCTCCAGACAAGAATTCCTACTAAACACAGCTCATGTATATGTATGTAGCACATTGTGCTTGTATTCAATTTACAGTGTTTTCTGTGAGGTCGTGGCACATATTTTAGTTGGAGCCATATAGCTTCCACACTAAACCTCCGGCTCACCCCATTACAGCTGCCTCAGAGAGGGAACCAAATGACATCTGTGTCATTTAAGGAGCTTTTTTATCTTGTTTCATGCAGATGAGGTTATTTTACAGGGAAACATCACATTTTGTTATTTTCATTGGAATTTTATATAAACAACATTGTGACTTTCAGTAATTTCAGTGTAATTACTAGATAAGAGCAGGAGCTGTAACAAAATTCAACAACCATTCACCTCCTAACAGAGGTACATATAAAAAGAGGGACATTTTCTATTTACTAAAAGAAGCTGCTGGCTTTTAATTGGCAATAATAAATTCAAACTAAAAGCAATACGTTTACAGAAGCACAATCTTTCTCTGAAAATACAAACCCCTGAAGAAATCAACGTGGAGCCAAGACCAAAGACAAATTATGTATTTCTTTGCATTTAGATGACTTTTTCACACTGGAATGAAACCGTATTAAAGTTTCCGCAGTAGGGTTGGAGCAATATCACAAATCCGAGATTCGAGGACCCTGTTGAATTCGGCAACAAAACAGAAGCAGTGAATCCTCACAGCTAAGAGAAATTAAATTTCAAAAGGCGGCTGGGCTTCTGTATTTCAACTGCAGAGTCTCATTTTCAGAACTCTGCATGTTTCTGTATTTTGATCAGGCTATATTATCAAATGCAGCAGGGATGACTGCTCCTGTCTCTGCTCCACTCTCCTCCTCCCCTCCTCCTCCTCCTGCTCCCATCTCCATCCTATCTAAATAAAAGAACAGGTTTTAATGAGAGTAACACAGAGCGGTGGTTTCATCGATAACTAAATACTACAGCTTCAAATGCTCCTCGCACTCAATTGGCTTCCCGCTATTGTTGCCGAGCGTATGCCTCAGTGAACACTAAATTTTCACTGTCACACTTCAATAACCCTAATTGTCCAAAATAAATGAGCTAATTTCTGAAGTTCCATTTTCATAGGCAGGAGATAAGGCAACTTTGCTGATTGATTGGATTCCAGTGTGTGTGTGTGTGTGTGCAGAGGAGTATGTGTGTGACTGCAGCTCAAAATTTGACTGAATGCCACTGTTATTTACTGCAAAGCATTTTTCTGACCCCTGCTGATATTCATCCGCCCCCCCCCCCCTCTCTCTCCGAAGAAAGGAAAAAGGAAGAAGCGAAAGTTGAAGAGGAAAAAGAGCCTGTGCACAAGTTTGTTTATGTAGATGTGTATGCGTGCGGTTGGGAACGAGTGTGTGCGTGTTTCCATGTGCGTCCCCATGGACTTGGTGCTGGATGCAGCCTAGACATTTGCATTTTTTCATTTGAGCTGTTATTTGCAGCATTGCGTGCAGCAGCGAGTCTCCAGGGGCTCGCCAACTAATTCAGTAAAAAGGCAGGTAAGACATAAATTAATCATAAGACGAGTGAGAATTACTGCACTCAACTCACACGCTCAGCTCTCTCAGTTTCACAAACACACATATACAGTAGCCACACCCATGCAAATATATTAATATTAATATAAATATGGATATTTGACATAAGAACACACACTTTTAATGCACATTCAACCAGAAAGTGAAAACACAAACACACAGACTCGATTTACTGGCACGCATGCACACAAACACACACTCACTCACATCACTGAGACTCAAATTAAATCTGAAAGGAGACCAAGGTCAAGGAAGGAAGTTTTCAACTCCATCAAGCAGAATTACTGAGCTGCAGGGAGAGAGGGGGAACTTTTAATAGACCAATGTTTTAGTACAAAAACTTTTTCAAACTTTGACATGACTTGCATATCAATGCCTTTACTCACTTTTCAGCAAAGTGTATTTACTTTCATTAGAGTGAAAACAGGACCTGGCTGTTTTTCCATAGCTGCACTGTAAGTCAGTAGGCAGAATGTCAGCGTGGTACAGGCTGCCAGAGCTGCAGCAATTAATCAAACAGCAGAGCTTTAACACGAGCTACTGACAGAAAACATCCTGCATTAATCTTCATCGCAAAACCTATTTGTTTCCCTTACGCCCAATAGTACTCCGCCACATATACTATATCAGTTTAATGAAATAAAAATGGATACAAATGTAAAATTACATAAACAATTGAGGCAGTAAACCTGGTTGTATCCTCAACTAACTCCCAACAAGACAACTGATCTTCAAACAAAGGATGTTCTAATAATTTTCAATGCATGTTTTAAATATAAAATTACATGCAAATAATTTTGAATTGTGACAATTCAAATAGGTTTTATATGAAGTACATTTGTCTGTCACTAAATGTGTGGGCTGATCCTGCCCCTCCCCCAAACTCCTCTGCTTTGTGTTGTATATCTATGTATTTCTATTGCTACACATTACCTTTTGGGAAAAAGGGAAGGAATTTACACCAAAATCTCAGCATGCATGATTTTCAAAATAAAATGTCTCAAAAAAAAAAAAAAGAGAGAGAGAGAGGGACCAGTTTGGTCCTTGGGACCAACATCCAAAGGCCAAGTCTAATGTTTATACTGTTTGTTAAACTGATTTTAGTCAAAATGTAACAACATAATCTAGTTTGTTTTGTTGTCCCATTTTCCTCTTTTCCAAACATTCCCAGATTCATCACTGCTCTCCACTGTTCCGGGCACTTCTAACATCTGTTCCATTTGAAGACACCACTGAACAGACCAAACAAACTGACCATCTCTTAAACTGTAACCCCTCAGCTGCAGCCTTGTGTCTTTTTAATTCCAACTTTAATATTACCATTTAAAAAACAAAGACAGTGAGTGTTTCATTTTGTGTTCAAGTTAATGACTTTAATCCCCTTCAGTCTTCAGGACTCTCCTCTTCTACTGCACTTATCACAGCCTTTGTTCCTGAATTCAGCAGTCTGAGGCAGATTGTCCCATCAATACACTATCAGAGGAAGTGTGCAAGATAAGAATTCTGCTGCTATCTGTCTGCGGCGAATAAGCTGTCCAGAGGTCTCCACAGTCAATGCACACACACTAACACAGAGTCTGTGTTGCCCTGAGTCTCCATAGTGTAATCCAGCACTTGTACAGACTCAAGGCCTTATCAGTGAGACAGGAGGGATTCACTGCAGCAAGACAGATATTACTGCATCAAGTGTATCTCAGCTACGACATAATGTCCCTCCAATAATTAACTTTGGAAAAGATGAAGTTACCCTCAGGTACAACAGGAAATGTGTGAGTTTAAGTTTTAAATCAGTTCAGGCTGCACTAGGTCTGTTTTAACACTTTACTGTAGCAGTTGAAAACAATTGAGTACGGGATCTTCTGCCTATGGATTCCTCGACCTGTAGCATGTTGTGGTTATGTCGCTTTATCTCCCATAAATGTATTAGGCAAATCCTGTTCCATCATTCCGACGTAGTGTTCACACGGGAACTAGTAGTAGTGAAGTAAAAGCGACAAATATGTGGTCACGCAGCACTATACACAGAAGGCGCCTTTGTTTACGTTGGCTGGTTGTGTACCATACATCGGATTGTGCTACATTTACTTTCTTTCATTTGTGTTGGTATTTTGGGTTTTTTTTAAATGTAGTCTAGAGACAACTTCATTGTATATAAAAGTCTGGAGAGGCAGAAAAGTAGATGACAGTGGTGCCAGGTGGTGCCACAGAAAGGTAAGTTAATTTTTATGTGTATTTTAACTACATGTACAATGACTTTGTGATGAGACCGCAGAAGTGTGGACTAATATAACGTTATTGTAAATGTGTACTGTTTTCTTCAATAATGATGAAGATTGACTGCCTCCATTTATGTAGTCATTCTGTTTATTTAATAATCAGTTCAGCATTAAAGTCAGATGTGGGAGATTTGACCTCACTCCTATGACTAAAACTCGAGGTATCACCTCAGCGCCTGAGCTTGCCTACTTCTATTTACAGCTACTGCATCCACCCCACTTTTCTGCCTTTTACCAAATACCCTCCAGGGTTTCCAGACAAACACATAATTCTGAGGTCATTTTAATTAATAGTTCTGGATCAGTGCCCAGATGTTAGGAACATCTTTTATGGAAGTAAGAAATTTTAAGCTTCGTCATCGTGTCTCATCTGTTCCCCAGCATTGTAGGACTGTGAAGGTTAAGAGAGCATGCATGAGCGCAATAAGCACTTTAGCATCAGAGCCACAGATCAGAGAGGGAGATAGAGAGAGAAGAGAGGAACAGATGCAGCGCAAGATTGATTAAAGTCAGACGGTCAAATGTGTGTGAGAGAGATACTGAAAGAGAAAGGGACAGAGAGAGAGGGAGAGTGGAAATAAAGTGGCTTATCTTTGGCTGTGACCTGAAACAGCTGTTTCTCTGCAGTGCGTTGAAGATGGATCTTCGTTCATTTCCTCTCCATCCTGACGCTCTATTTACACCACCACTTTACCGTCTGCAGTAGGACAGAGACCTACGTCTCTTCCCAAGACAGGGAAGGAAAATCAATTTGAATGGTCAATCAATCACCGCTGTAAAGAATTCTTCTATGTTAAAGAATGTAGTCGTACCAGTGTCGTCTGCATCTGTTCTTGAAGGCCTTGCACCAAAACGGAGTGGTGTTTCTCAGATGTCCAGTGATAATTCAGATGTCCAGTGATAATGGCAGCGAGGACTTTGTCCCAACGCTGAAGATGTGACATTGAGCCGAAACACTTTCATGGTGATGTGAAGGTTTTGGCCTGTCATCAGCAGCTGAAGACTCCCTCCTGCTCACCACAGCTGTCACTGAAAATACACGAGAAAAAGAGGCGACGAGACAAGAAAGGAGGACGTAAGGATGTGTCCTTTACTTTGACCTCTGCAGCAGAGGTCAAATAAACCCGATCTAACAGCCGGTACTGGTTCTTATCAGCTATCTTTTTCACACAAGCAAACTTTCTAACAGCCAGTTTTTTTTTACGTGCATGTCCTTTTACGAGCCACAGTGGACAGTTGAGCAGGTGGAAGATGCAAGGGCTGGACATTGGCCAAAAGAGGAAGAAGGAGACTGAGAGGAATGAAAATGACCTGAACAGGTTTGTACTTATCATGGTCTTGGTTTTGCTGATTGTAGCTATTCTATTATATTCTATTCTATTCTATTCTAATCTATTCTATTCTATTCTGTTATATTATATTAGTGCATTGTTGATAAGTGGCCAAGTTTCCTTTAATTTTCAACCATTATTTCTGTTCACACAAGAAAGCCTTTTCCAGAATAATCCCATCTCCCAGAAGAATATGACCTTGTGTTCTTTGTTGGTAGAGATCTGATGTCGTATGAAGATGACTCACTCCTAGTCGTACGCCTTTTGCTAATTGACTGAAGCAGCTCATCTAATGGTACAGAGTAAAGGGTTCACCTCACCACTCCTATAGAGTGATTTCTCCACCTGGTGCTCTGTTCAGAGATATATTAATACATCAAGTTAAAGACCCTGATGACCTCATGCTTATATCCAAGCTGTCTAACTGAATATCACACAAAAGTTGGAAAAGACAAAGAAAAACTTTTTGTGTAGTATTTAAATCCACAAATTTACTTTAAACTTTCTGGTTTTAACCCACGTATCAAAGAGTACTTAGAACCATACTTTACAAATGGGGTTATTGTATGGCTGATGTCATAAGTTAACCAATGAGCAATATCAGGTCAAGTCAATTTTACTTTAGCTGTAATTTAAATCTGTTCAGCTTATATAGACTGTTAATGCTCCTCTAAGTTCCTGTTTGCAGTTCTTCATGTTGCAGTGCATTGATTGGTCTGTGCATTTAAAGGTAAAAGATTTTGGTAACAATTTACAGAAGACAAACAATATGTAAAGCAAACGTAGAAAGACAAAAAGAACCTTCAGTCAACACTGAAAAAGAGCAGCGGGTGTGGAGGAGATCTAGGAAGAGGAGAGTCAAAGGACAGGATGATGGAGAGACGGAGAGACAGGGCGGAGCAGCATACGACTGGTCGTCGACTGAGGTTGATGACCGGCCCCTGTCAGTCAGACTCACACAGAGAGAGCAGGGCCCTGCCATCTGCTCCAAAGTTAATGGGAAGGAGACAAGGTGGGGAGGTGAGATGTGACGACATGGGCGAGGGAGGCTGCAGAGAGAGGAGACTCTGAGAGGGTGGAGATCTGGCTGGTTGGAGGAAAACGGCGGCGGTTGGAGGAGAGTCTGCAAACCAAGGACAGAATGGATCATTTAATGAGATCATCGGTGACGGTGGAGAAGAGTTGACGATGGACTTAATGAAGGTTGAACTTGATAAAGCGAGAAGGACTTTTGGTTTGAGGATAAATACCAATAATATCTGAAATGAATAAAGTGTAATCAAATAAAGACTTACAACTAGATACACACTTAGTAGTACTTAGTAGTTTAGGGGAGGTTCTCTAAAAATCTATATTTTCCACCAATTCCATTTCTTGGACATTTTCATCCTGCACAGTGATTATTTATAAAAGGCTTTCTTCTCTTTTGTCACAGTGACCTTGAATTAAATTTTACAGCAAAAAGACAATTTTTGTATTCGGCCTTTAGACAAAAGGTTTATTCATAAAGTTCAACTAAAACTCACTGGAACAGGCAGGCGTAAATCAGGAACTAGAACTAGAACCAGGAGACACAGGAACAAGGAACACAACACAGACAACATGGGGGGAAAACAATCACAAGGACAGAGTGAGGGAGAGAGGTATACAGTATATACCCAGGGCACCAGGTGACACCAGTGAGACTAACGCACAGGCAATTAAAGACACAGGTGAGTGTGATAACACTGACTACCTGAGAAACACAGACAGACCACAGTTAAAGTTCAACAGTTTAACACATGTACACCTTATTATGATTCTATTTCACCTTGACTTTTTTAATGACTGTTACCAATACTAATTAAATACTATTTTCATAAACCCTAATGAAAAATACCACCAGAAAACAAGGTTTTAGTTTAAGGTTTTGTTAGCTTACCTTAGCCTCTAATGAAGCCTCAGGGTAAGTTTGTCTTCTTGGAGTCCACGTGTACTTGATTCTCATTTTTCTATAAATGTTGTTCTATAAATATTTTAAATGACAACAAGGTGGGATGAGATGTACAGCATATGAGAAACAGAGCTCCACGCCACCTGTTCAGGAAAGTAGGAAGTAGGTCAAAGCTCTGACAAAGTCACAACTGGCCTTGGGTTAGAAACCAGTTCTGAGTGTTTTCATCTTAGCCATCGCACACACACACACACACACACACACACACGCACATTCACACTCTACATCTCCTCTTTTTGGAACTGAACGTCATTGGAAGTTGAGGTGGGGGCCTCAACCCCTCGCCCCTTCCTCAAGTTCACCTCCTGACTGGACAACAGATGGAGCGTAGAGACGCCCAGACAACAACACCTCCTGCTCACATGTGTGTTTGTGTGTGTTTGGCCGGCCGACTGTGTGTGCGTTGTTAGGTCAGCGTGGCTACAGATGCAGGTGTGATCCCGCATGCCTCCTGTTGACACAGTTATCAGTCATTTTGCAAACAT